ATGGTGTTGGGGTCCGTCTTCCACGAGTCGTCCCTCTTCTGGTGGTGGCCTCCGCCTCCGGACGAGCTCTTGGCCGAAGTCGACGACTTGCCTGCCCCCTTGGCAGGCTGTCCGCCTTTCTTCTTCCCGAACTGGCCTCCGAAGAACTTCCGTCCGGTCTTCTTCTGGCGCAGCAGCTCGCGAGCCTGCTTGAAGGACCGCTGCCCTTGTTGAGCAGCAGAAAACACAGCACCCTCGAGTAGCTCATCTCGGAGCTCTTGGTCGTCACCTGCTTGATCGTAGATCTCCCGGATCTGGCTGGCGAACTCGTCCTCCTCCGCCGCCAGCGCTGTCGCGTTCTCGCTGTGCTGGTCGCCCTCGTCATCCTCGTCGTCCTCTTCCGAGTAGTCGTCGTCGCCCTCGGCCGCGTAGTTCTTGCTACGTCCCTGCCACGGTGGCCTGGCGCCACGCATGTTGTTGTGGTCGCGTTCGTGCTTCTTGTCGAACTGCATGCCGAGGGCTTGCTGGATGGCCTGGTACCCATACTTGTTCTGCACAGAGGCCAGCACCTGCGAGCGCTCGTGGTCGTCGAGGCCTGCATTCTCGAGTAGAAACCATGCTCGGAGCGGCTCAGGAAATATCGGCTTCTTCTCGTCGAAATCTTTGTCGATGGCCTTTTATCGCCTTCTGCATCCGGTCCTCTTCGACCTCGAACTGCGTGAGATAGTCTCTCATGCTCGTCCGGTTCCTCCGGTATGTCTCCTTCATGAAAGTCCTCATATACTTGCCAGCGTCCTCTACCTCCAAGATGCCGCTCTTTTCCCGGAGATACTGGATCAACTGGCTCACTCCTTTCGGCAACTTGGTCGTCGCATCTTCCTCCAGGTCGTCCAGGCTGTCCAACTTATCGTACTTCTGTACTCCCTGCCACGCACGTCCCTGGAGCTTCGCCATCAATCTGGGCCCGCAGAGGCCCTTCTCGTCCTTCTTGGTACCGCGCACGTACAGCTTCACTCTCATCACGTAGGAGTCGAAGCTGGCCACGTCTCCGTCCCACGAAGGCACGGTCTCGTGCTTCTCAGCCTCGGTCGTCATGACGAGCCGGTCCGTGGAGCCACGACCGGCTCCGCTACCAACTAAATCGTCGGCACTGGCGTCAGCCTGCTGTCGATCTTCTCGTAAATGATTATCTTGATAATCTTTTCCTCCACAGCTCGCGCCAACGACACAACAATCTATAAGATATCTCGATAGCCCCTGGTGGGCTGAAACAGTCACTCACTTGGTGAGTGGGTGGCCGGTCGGCCGTGCCCGGTAGCCTTACCGGGACTCAAGGGCGCCCTCGGACCGAAACAGCAGCAGTAGCAGTCGCTCGGTCTCGGGGCGTCTCGGATCGGAAGGCCAACTGCACAGTACAAAACACACCCCCCCCCCCCCCCCTCCTGCCCCCCCCCCCCCCCCCCCCCCCATCCACCTCCACTCCTCCCCCCTTCCCCCCTCCCCCCCTCACCCCCCTCCCCCCGTCCCTGGCGGGCGGAGCGCGCCAGGGGTGGCGCCAGATGCGCCGCCGGAGGGGTTCCAGCGCCGATCCAAGAAACCCGCGCGGACCTCCAACAGTTCATGTTCATGCTGCGTTGGGTGCGTTCTGACCATGACTCTGAGGCGAGTCCAGCTGCGTGGTGGCGATGGATACTGACACCCTCGGGTATGATTTGTTCAGTGCGCGGGCACACGAAGTCCCGACGCCTTCCCTGGGGCTCTCTGTCCGCCCAAGGTAGGTGCATTTCCGACGGCCCCGGGGCCCAAGAACTGGCCCTGAGGGCAGAAACCAAGGGAACACGCTGGGATCGAAAGAACCAGATCGTCGGAGATCTCGGGATGGACAAAAGCATGGAACTTTTTCGCGCAGCGGACCCCCCGAGGTCTCGGCCCATCCCCTGGGACCTGCTCTTCATACCCAATCGCTCTTTGGCGGTCCCAGCAGGGCCCCCCCGGCGAGGGCCGTCACCACCACCGCAGACCCGAGCATGCCGAAAGACGCGTGGGCAGAGGAGCGCGCCAAGGCACCCGGAGGCCGAGAACAGCCGGAGCCCTCCGTCGTGCCGGAGCCCTCCGTCGTTTTTTTTTTTTTTTTTTTTTTTTTTTTTTTTTTTTTTTTTTTTTTTTTTTTTTTTTTTTTCTTTTTTCTCGACGCGAGGGAGTCAGGGCGTGGCGGCGAGGGATGGGCAACAGCATCGGTGCTGCCAAGGTCTCACGGCGGTGGACAAGCCTCCCTGCAGTAAGCCTCCCCTTAAGAAAAAAATGGCCTCGGACCGAAACCGGCGAACCTGGACCTGCAACAAAATGACGGCCGCGACGCCCTCTCGCGAACCGAAAACGGCCAATTCCTTAATCGACGTGTCAGGCTGGGAGGTCTATGAACCTCCGATTCTTGGTTGCCGCAGACCAGTACTTTGCGACGGTGCCGCCTCATACCTGCCCCGTAGGCGAGTGATCTGCATGTGGGCAACGGCGCCTTCGATGGACTACCAAGTGCCCTCCATCCGCCATCCAGATTTGGCAAGGGGCTGGAGGCTGGAATAGTAATCGCTCGCCAGCGACATACCACTTCCCGCGCTGTTTCACATCGCTGTGGCGCCTGCAACCACTGGCCCACACAACAAAGTAAGCGACATAGCAGGAAATAGGAGTATAGCTTCTGGAGCGCTCGCTGTCTGGAGAGATGCCCATCGCAAGGTGCTTCTCGATGATGTTGGTATAAAAGGAACACCCTGGCCGTGGAGTGGAACCTCGTAAAACAAATTAGCCCTCCAGTTGGTGTAGATGCTCGCTTGGGGACTTCGGCAAGATGTGAATGGCAAGCTCGCAGCTGGCCCGCATCATTGTCGCACGGCTTTGCACCGACAGGCCTTGGGCCTTGGGTCAGGGTCACCCAGCCGCTGTTAGCCGTCACTTTGGGCACACTCGTCCAGAATCGACTGGGCAGAGAGAGCTTGTCACCGCTGTTACGGCGTGGTGAAACAAATCAGGGCGCTCTACCCATACATGTCTGAAACTGGGCCAGGGTTCGCAACAAAACAGACCAGTGCTTTCTTGACTGTCTTCGGGTCTCCGACGTCACTGCACCCCAGAAGTAGATGCACAGCAACTTCTTCTCGGCGTCGGGAAGGGCACGGGCCCACTTGGACTAGGTGCCCCAATTGGAGATCCACCTCGTCAATGCCATCCGCATTATGGCGCTTCTGAGAAACCTGTTGGATACATCCCACTCTGGAAGCAATATGTAAACCGTGTCGAATCCGTCCCAGATGCCTCTCATCTGTGGGTTTGCGCGTCCAGAATCTGTCGGTGTTAGCCGCATAGAGACCTCGAGGCTCAGAAAGGACTCGGTGATTGTCGCTGGAATCCAGCTCCAGCAGACAGCCTTGCGCATCATAATCTCTGAAAAGGAGAAGCCCCAAAGTAGCACAATGAGCTCGGATAGCTGTCTCAACTTGTCGTGGCTCACCGTGTCCAAGGCGTACAGTGCGGCCCCCAGTCGGGGGTGGAGATGGACCTGTTGGGCCCACCATCTTCCTTGGTACCACCACTTCGAAGAAGTTTCACCACAGTTCGATGTAGAAGACGGGGGACTTCTTCAGTCAGCGGTGAAAGAAGCTGAGATGCCCAGTACCAAAGGGGACGGATGTAGGCAATCGCAAGACTCTCTCTCACATCAAATCCACAAGGAATCGAGATCAAGGTAGCGATCGCCTGGCAGAATATCTCCCACCCCTTGCGAGGCAGTATGGGATATTCAGGATCAGCTGGTCTGCAGTTCTGCCGAGATGCTCGACGATCTTGGGAAGGTCATCATCACGGCACCAGACTTGTCTCTTGCTAAGTTTTTCTTCGAAGGTGCTCCCCGACGGCCCCCTGCCAACTGCTGCGGTCCCGGCGGCCCCTGCTTGGTGCGTTCGCGCCTCACCTAGACAAGCACGCGAGAAGGGCAACGAAAACAGGAACGGCTAGATAGAGAGAGAGAGAGAGAGTGCCGGAGGATGGGGCGGTGCGACAATCATGCGAACCCAGACCCCCCGACGTCATGATTTGTTTCACGCCGTCGACCCCCAAACAGTCTGGACCCATCTCCCTGGACCGGCTTTTCGTCCCGAGCCGTGGTTTGACGGACCCGAGAGAGCCTGCGAGGCCCCCGGAGACCGAAGATAGCGACAAGAATGCCCGTCGTGATCTCCTCATGGCCCGCGGGGGGGTCTGGGAACAGGGAGGGGTGAAGAACCCCCCCCCCCCCTCTCTCGATCCGCCCTTGCAGGGGTGCTGCGCGGGAGTGCATGCAGGTCGGGCATGTCCTTCCGCAGGCGGACTCCACAAAAATCCTGGACACGAATATCCTGGACACAAATAACCAACAAAGAATCAACAAAAATGGGGAAGCACAGCTAATTCAACAAGTATCCAACAATTCAACATAGGGAAGCACAAAGAATCAACAGAAACATCCTGGACACCATCCGAAGAGCGCGGAGCACCGTCCCCCGGCTCCTCGTTGGCTGCTTCTGGACTCTCCTCCCGCAGAGGGACCTGCCCCTGGGTGCCCCTGGATGCTTTCGAATGCCCCATGGATGCTCTCGAATGCCCTGGGATTAAGTCAGGCCTGCCCCCCTACAGAAGGATTTTAAGCGAAAAATGAAAAACATTCAACCAATGACCCCCAGATGCTCAAAAATGGTAACACAATCGTCCCCAGGCTATTTTTTGACTATTTTTGAATATTCCCCCTGTAGAGGGACAGGCCCGACTTAGCCCTTGGATGCCCCTGGAGGCCCCTGAACGCCCCTGGCGACGGCGACGGCGACGACGACAGCAGCAGCGAGGGTGGCAGTGGCAGCGGCGGCGGCTGCGGTGGTGGCGACAGCGACAGCAGCAGCAGCAGCAGCAGCAGCAGCAGCAGCAGCAGCAGCAGCAGCATCCGCCCCCTGATGCTCTGTGTGGGAGTGCGCCTTCCCCCCGCCGCGGGAGTCCAGCGCCACGGCCGAGCCGCAGCAGGGGGCGCGCACCGGGGGCAGCAGCTCCCAGGCGCGCAGGGCGGGGTCGTAGCGCTCCTGAGGGGCCGGCGACCCGGCATCGCTCGGGCGCGTGCCTGGCTCTCTCGGCGAGGACCCTTGAGGAGCATCTCAGGGCTCGACCTCACGAGTGCTCTTGGTTCTCGTCTCGTGTTCGCTTTCTTTCTTTTGTGTTCTCTGCCATTCGCCTCTGCTGCAACACGAGATCGAACCGACAACGGCCCACGAAATCGCCAAAACACCGCTTAGGTCCACCCCTGTATGTGGCATCGCTCGGACGTGTGCCTTGTTTCTCGGCGAAGACCATCGAGGAGCATCTTGCATCATCTCGCGACGAAAGATACACGCACGGAGTCGTATCGTGCACTGGGAAGGGACGTCCGGGCGATGACCAGACGATAGGGGGACCTGGCTCAGGGGGGTCAGCGTCGGCCTGGAATCGGCGATACATCGCCGATAGATCGGCGACAGGCCCTCGATTGCGAGCCCCCACGTCTCTGGGCGGGGCGGGCTATCGGGCCCCTATGGGCTACGAGTGGACACTTGGGGGTCGAGGCGTCCGCCCCTGGAGCCTATCCGCCTTGACCGTTGCCCGAGTGGCCTTTTCGGGCCATAGCTCGGGCCCCCGGTGGCCGCGGAGGACGATCCGGGCACCCCAGGAAGGCCCTTGGCGAGCTGCTGCAGGACACCCCGAGGTTGGAACACTGCCGAGAGAACCTACGACAACGCCTGCGCACCTCGAACCTCGAAACTTCGTTCCCCCCCCCCCCCTCCCCCCTGGCGCCGTCCCTGGGGGTCGATGCCATCCCCCCTGAGCCTAATCCCTGCCCGTGGTGGTCTTCAAGCCATAAGCTCGGACCTCTGGCGGCCGTTCGGGACGACCCGGGCGCCCCAGGAGACCGCCCGCCCTCGGCGAGGCGCGGCTGCTGCCGGGCGCCCCGAGGATGTGCACCATCGCCGAGACCCTGCGACGACGCCCGCACAGCTCGAACCTCAGAGCTTCGTTAGGGGGCCACGTGCGAACCCTACCCCTACCCCCCACGATTTTTGAGGGGGAGGGTGGGGTTCACTTCGTTCGAGAGCTCCCGAGCGAAGTGAACCCCACCCTCCCCCTCAAAAATCGTGGGGGGTAGGGTTCGCGCATGTGGCCCCCTAGTCGTCCCCCCCCCTCCCCGCCCCCCTAGCAGTGCCCCCTGGGGGTCGATGCGCTCCCCTCTGGAGCGCATCCCTCCCCCGGAGCCCGCCCCGCCTCGGCGGCCTCCGGGCCGCAGAGCCTCGGGCCTCCCGCGGCCGCTCGGGGACGGCCCGGGCGCCCCCCCCCCCCCCGAACGCCCTCGGCGGGCCGCGGCCGCCGGAAGCCGTCCCGAGGGTGGACGACCGCCGGGAACCCACGAAGACGTCCGAATGAAGGGGCCCCGGGACACACGAATAGAGCCTGTTTTTCTTTAGATTCGGGCAAGTTTACTTGCATGGACGGGGGGGGGGCTGAGTCTGAAGCAAGCCGAAAACAATTCGACGTGCGGAAATCACGTATGTCGAAAGGCACTTGCACGCTCGTGTTCGATTGAAGAGGGGCGAGGGGGGGGGGGGGGGGGGGGGCGAACGCCATGCAAGTACGCTTGCCTGTATATAAAGAAAAACAGGCTCATAAATACACACTAACAAAATGATTCCCCATCTTTTCCCATGTCTTCTGGCTTTCTGTCCTCCCCCCCCCCACCTCCCCTATTTTCCTATACTCTTTCCTGGGGGTCGACGATCAATTGTGCCTGCGTGTTTCTTCCCCTCCTGGCCGAAGGCCTCGAGCCGCGGCGAGGCGTCTCGCCCTGGAGCCTAGGCCCCCCCCCCCGGCTGCGGCCCCTGGGCTCCATGGAGGCGGCGTTGCCCGCGCCGGCCAGCTCGCCCCCGAACACCAGGATCCGCCCGTCCTGGACCGCCACCGCGCACGCGTACCTCTGGGAGGGACAGAAGAGCGTCAACGAAGACGACGCCAGGGCCAGGACGAACTCGGGTGAGGATGAGTCGGGAAGAGCGGCACCTCGTTTTGACAACTCGAACCGCCTCCCCGAGGAGAAGCCGCGAGACCGCCAGCGGGAGCCAAGGGCTCTGCAAACGGCCCCCAGGAGGCTCCCAAACGGTCCCCCACGGACTCCCCGTAGCCTCACCCGCTCTCCTGGGGGCCGGCGGAATGGCGTAGGCCACTGGAACAGATCGGGAATCTCTGAGGTCTGGCGGCGCTGGAGGACATCTCGGGCGCCGCAGCCTTCTCAGAGCGTCCCCGGACGCTCTGGGAGCGTTCCGGAATGCTCTGGGCCGGCTGTATCCTTGTCCCAGCCCCGCCTGGATCTACCCGGATCTCCGGCGATCGTCCTCGATTGCGGCCTCTGGGGTTAGATTGGGCATGTTCCCTACAGGTGGATCTTGCACGAAAAATGATTAATAGTCCAAACATGCTAAAGGAGGATCAGAAATCGTAGAACGAACGTCCCCGCACAATTATTGTTGGACTAGTCTGAAGATCCTTCCTGTAGAGGGACCTGCCCGATTGAACTCTGGGGCGTGTGGTTGGGCATTGGCGCCACTCAAAGTGGATCCAGGGCGAAAAGCTATCTCCAGGGATGCGGTCGGGGCCTCTGGGGCTAAGGAGGAGGAACTCCATACGATGATTCCTGAGCAAATCCATAGGATCCTAAGGACATCCATCGGATTCCTTGCGAAATCCATTGGATGCCTTAGGACATCTCTAGGAGTCCTTAGGAAATCCATAGAGTTCCTTCGAACATAGGATTGAACAAGACCCATCGGCGGACGTAGGGGTGGTGCTCCCTGGTTGCTCCTTCGTCTCTGCCCGAAGGTCTGGCTTTATGGTGCTCCCATCGTGCCTAAGAACCACGTCACATAAATAATTTCGAGCACCCAGACATGCATTGAAACAGTGTCGAACGAGTATCGCCTCCCAGGGCCCGACACGTGAAGACTGTCCAGTTTCGGTACAGTCGGGGCGTTGACCTAAGGAACCCTAAATAAGGAACGAGACCCCTTTCTCCATACATTAAACTTTGACTTCCCATCGAGAACCTCAAGAAAATCTAAGGCAAGCTGCGAAAACAATTGTTGAGGAGCACGATGCCCCTCCCCAACGACAAGGTTTGCTTCCTCAGCGCCCCGACTGCACTCTCTGGGCGCTCAAAACTCTTTCTGGTGATCCAGGCTAGAGTAGGTTGGAACATCGTAAGCCTGGCTGCTCTCATCGGCAGCACGCCGACGGGTTCCCCGCGGCGCCGTGCCATTGATCCTGCCCCAGACGTCCGGCGTCGTGCTTCCCATCGCAACGTGGCTCCCTGGAGGTCTGGACCCTTTCCCGGGGACCGACGTTTCGTCAGGAGGAGGAGGAGGAGGAGGAGGAGGAGGAGGAGGAGGAGGAGGAGGAGGAGGAGGAGGAGGAGGGAGGAGGAGGAGGAGGAGGAGGAGGAGGAGGAGGAGGAGGAGGGGGGAGGAGGAGGAGGAGGAGGAGGGAGGAGGAGGAGGAGGAGGAGGAGGACCCCCAGGCCCGACAAGGGCCCCCCGAGGCCGAGAGCGGCCGGAAACCTCCCGTCGTGTTTTCCCAGGCCGTGGGGGCGTGCAAAGGGTTTCTCTCCTCCTCCTCTCCTCCCTCTCCTCCTCCTCCTCCCCTCCTCCTCCTCCCCCTCCTCCTCCTCCTCCTCCTCCTCCCCTCCCCCTCCCCCTCCCCCTCCTCCTCCTCCCCTCCTCCTCCTCCTCCTCCTCCTCCTCCTCCTCCTCCTCCTCCTCCTCCCCGAGCACCGGGGCCGGCACATCGGCGGCATGGCCTCCCACTCTCCCGTCTTGGCGTTGTAGCGCTCCACGGACTGGAGGGGGCGCGAGCCTGAGGGGCAACGGTGCGGGGGGACTGGCGCAGGGGGGTGAGCATCGGCCTTGAGTGGGCGATACAGCGCCGATGGATCGGCGATGGGCTCCCGCTTGCAGATCCGCGCGCTCCTGGGCGGGGCTGTCGCAGGCCCAGAGGTTGACACCAACACCAACATGGGCGGCACTATTCTGGCCTCCAAGGTGGCCGACCTATGACCACGAGCAGCGAGGTCTGGGATCATCCTCCCCCCTGTGGAGGCAGTTCCCTGTGTTAGTGTTGGTGCCCATTTCCAGGTATCCAAGGTTGGGTTATCGGTCCCCTGACGGTGATGAGTGGGCAACGAGGCGGGGGCGCGAGCCTGAGGGGCAACGAGGCGGGGGGGCTGGCGTAGGGGAGTGATCATCACCCGGACTCGGCGATACAGCGCCGATAGATCGGCGATGGGCCCCCGCTTGCGGCTCCGCACGCCTCTGGGCGGAGTCGGATCATCGGCCCCCTGTCGGTGATGAGTGGGCAAATCGGGAGTCGCCGCATCCCCCCCCCCTGAGCCGATCCCCGTCCCTGGCGGTCTTCGGGCCATAGGTCGGACCTCCCGCGGACGTTCGGGACAGAGCATCCCGAGGCTGCAAAGTCGTCCCCAGACTATTTTCTTAACCTGCTTTTGAATATTCGGAAGATTCGGAATATGCATGAGGAATGTTAGATTCCCCCTGTCGAGGGACACGCCCGACTGAAGGGGAACATCGGCCTGGAATCGGCGATACAGCGCCAGTAGATCGGCGATAGGCCCCCGGTTGCGGATCCGCGCTCTGCTCGGCGGGGTGGGGTCATCGGCCCCCTATCGGTGATGCACGGGCAACTTGGGAGTCGCTGCATCCCCCCCCTGCCCTGAGCCGATCCCCGTCCCTGGTGGTGTTCGGGCCAGAGCTCCGAGCCGGGCATGTCCCCCTACAGGCGGACTTTGGACGACGAGTAAAAAGGTAGGAGAAAAACATATGTACAAAATTCGCAAAACTAATCGAACAATCGGCCCCCTATTATCTCTGGACTATTTATGGATATTCCTCCTGTGTAGAGGGACACGCACGACTCAACAGTAGCTCGGACCTCCCGCGGCCGCTCGGGACAGCGCATCCCGAGGCTACAGAATCGCCGAGAACCTGCGGCGCCGCCCGAAGACCTCGAACCTCGGAACTTCTTGGCGGCGCGAAAAAGGGGGTGAAGGGAGGGGGGAGGGCTTCTTAGAAGGAGGCTGCTTCTTAGAAGGCGCCAGCCTTACATCTATAGATAAGGCCCGCGCCTTCTAAGAAGTATGGGGTGCTTCTAGAAGCCCTCCCCCCTCCCCCCCCCCCCATCTGCGCGTGGCTGAACTTCGTCCCCCCCCCCCTCCCCCAGACTCCCGACGTCATGTTTTTTTTGTGGTTTCAAAACGTCGACCCCCAGAGGCGTCGACCCATTCCCGGGAGCGGACAAGAGGGGGGTGTCCAAGAGGGGGGGATGCACATCATGACCGGCGGCATGTGCGCGGCCCAGCGGGGGGACCAGGGACGTAATGAAATAAGAAGAGGCGCCATGACATCTGAGGAAAAATCATGGCCCGCGCCATGAAATCCCCCCCCCCTAGTCATCACCCCCCTCTTTGCCGCCCCCGACATTCAGTATCATTCCCCAGGGACAGTTTTTGTCATGTGACGGCCCCGAGGGCCGGTCATTGACCCCAGATGCCGACAATACAGAGAGACAAAAACCTCCCGTCGTGATTTCGCCATGACCCGAGGGGGTCTGAGATCCAGGATCGGGCATCGGCAGAACTGGGTTTAGTGGGACCTGGTTTAGTGATTTGTACTCGAGGACGCCCCTCCCCGCCCCGTTCCACTAACCGGACCTACCGTCGCCCGAAGAAGCACCAGCTACGGCAGACCTGGTTCAGTGATCCTGGCAGATTGAGGGATCCAGGGCCCAACCACTAGCTGGGTCCCCTTCTCTCGGGTCCTGGCTATGCCCGGCAGAAGCATCGTCGATCCAGGCCCACAGCGGCCCAGGCCCAGGCGGACACGTCGGACCTCGCGGCGGGGCGACAGCCTGTCGATAGAAAAAAATCGAGAAGGGGGAAAGGAGGAGGAGGAGGAGGAGGAGGAGGACGAGGAGGAGGAGGAGGAGAAGGAGGAGGAGGAGGAGGAGGAGGACGAGGAGCTAGCCTCGGCAGGTGGTCCAGGAGCATCCTGGACCACCTGCCGAGGCTAGCGAAGACGCTGCCCTCCATGCTTTGTTCAGGACCCGCGGCGGCCTGGGTTCGTCCCCCCCCCTCCGCTCCCCTCTGGCGCCAGGTCGGGCATGTCCCTCCTCCTCCTCCTCCTCTTCCTCCTCCGCCTCCTCCTCCTCCTCCTCCTCCTCCTCCTCCTCCTCCTCCTCCTCCTCCTCCTCCTCGTCCTTCCTCCTCCGGGCTTTGGACGAAGAATTCGCGGCTCCCCCCTGACGTCAGGTCGGGCGTGTCTGAAGGGGCCCTGGGACACACAAATAAATACACACACAAATAACAGGATTCCCAATATTTTCCCACATTTTCTGGGTTCTTGTCTTCCCCCCCACCTCCCATATTTTCCAATATTTTCCTGGGAATCGACGATTAATTGTGTCTGTGTGTTTTTTCCCCTCCTGAGTTAGGTCGGGCGTGTCCTCCTGCAGGCGGGCTTTGGACGAAGAACAATTCGCCGGCCGCACTGGCCAAGGGCGTGCGGAGATCCCCGGTGACTGGACGAGCGAACGCCAGATCCGTGCGCGCGCCGCGTGGGCGCCCGCGCGCGCCCGTTTGGGCGTGGCGGTGGAGGCCGTAGCCTCGACACGCGCACGGGGCCTCTCCTGGGGGTCCCCGGAAATACCCCGGCCAGGTCCCGAGCAGGCTCCCGGCCAGGTCCCGAGCAGGCTCCCGAGAGCGCTCCAGGAGCGCTTCAAGTGGCCTCCAGGAGAGCTCAACATGGTCCGAGACGGTCCAAGAGCGAGCCAAGACGCCAAAGATGGCCTCCAGACAGCCCAGAGCGCCTTCAAGACGCCCCAAGAGGGCTTCAAGAGGCTTCCCAAGAAGGCCCACAGAGGCATGAATTATTGATGTTCCTTCAGCTTTTGAAGGTTGTTGGCGTTCTCGCCTTTTTCGGCTTACCCGGGCTGTCAGACGGCCCAAGAGGCTTCCAGGATCGCCCCAACACGACCCAAGAGGCCTCCAAGAGCGCCCAAAACGGCCCCAGAGGACCCCAAGACAGCCCCAAAGGCCTCCAAGATGGCCGAAGAGGCTCCCAAGACGGCTCCACGAGCGGGTCCAGAAGAGGGACCCGAACGGACATTACGAGCTCTAAGCGCAGCGAGGTCCCCTGGAGGCCGCAAGAGGCCCCCAAGAAGTCCCCAAGAAGCCCCCCAAAGGCCCCAAGAGGCCCCTAAGACGCCCCCGAGAGGCCCCAAGAGACTCCCACGAGGCCCTCAAGAAGCCTCCTAGAGGCGCACTGCCGACGACCACTCGGCCAGTCGACCGCGGTGAGCAATATGGGCCGGCGGAGTGAGCGAAGCGATCAAATGACAAGCAGTCCAGAAAGAACCAAACATGTCGAATCAGACACAAAACATGGGCACCAATATTTTGTTTTACCATTCTTGAGCCTTCCTCCTGCAGGGGGGAATGCCCGACGTAAGTCTGAGCTCGTCCTCCCCCGCTCCCCCCTGGCGTTGTGGATGCCACGACAATGGACACCCTATCAGTCCTATCATCGAATTAAACATGCGTTCAATATGTAGGAAAATGGATCGACCATGTTAAAAACATGTTTTTCAATGTTAACGACACTTTAACACATGTTTTAAGACATCTGGAAATTATTTTGGCAGCGCGCTTCCTCTCCATTGATCGTCCTCCACAACCCTGGCGTTGCCCCTGAGAGCCGTCCAGGCCGCCCATCACGTACAGGTGGCCCCCGCAGAAGGCCGCCGCCGCGCGGATGCGGCCCTCGCAGGATGGGGCCGCCCACGGTGCACCCGCACCCGATCCTGGGCAGGCTCCTCCTGGGCCCCGCATCGGTGTACACCCTGCGAAATGCTTTAGAAATCATGGATTAAGAAATTCATAGTCTCAGAAATTGAAATAAAACCCAGAATGCCTACTCAAATCTTAGGATTTGCATTGAAACATTAAGAATAATCGAGACTCTGGCCGAAAACTTGAGTTTTCTTAAGCATCGCCCAAGGTGTATGTGCCTCATCCTGGCCCGAGCAAGCGCGCCCTGGGGGGAACATGGGCAGGCCGGGCGGTGATGAGGGGGCGGCAACGGCGTACGTGCGCGACAAACTCCCGCGGCCAAGCGCCGCGCGAGCAGGAGGAGGAGCAGGCGGAGGAGGAGGAGGAGGAGGAGGAGGAGGAGGAGGAGGAGGAGGAGGAGGACGAGGAGGAGGAGGAGGAGGAGGAGGAGGAGGAGGAGGAGGAGGGGCCCTCAGCGGGCCCCCGGACTGTCAAGAAACGGCTCCAGATGAAGATCTCGTCCTGGGGGAAGGCCCCGTGGTCCGGGAGCCGTTTCCCTCAGGATCCGTCTCCCCCTTGCTAAGCAGGCAAGCGTGTAATTACACCGGTCCGTTGGCCCAAGATCGGCCTGGCCAGGATCGGTGGAAGGGTACAGTTAGGGGGAATCCAAAGGAACCCATACCGCTACTCCCTGGGCCTCTCCCGGGGTGCAGTCTGACAGGAAGTGCGAGGCGAACCCAGCGGTGGCGACGAGGACCTCCCAGGATATCCCAAAAAGCGAAAACGAGGGAAGGGTAGCGGTATGGATACCTGTTCCTCCTCCGTTAGTTGGTGCCCTCCGACCTCGAGCATCGGCGCCAGCGTCTCCCAGCGGTTCGTCCACGGGTCGAAGCGCTGGGCGTCTGCGAGCGCGCGGCCGGCCTCGGAAGCGCTATCGTCCACCCCTCGGCCCGCGCGGCCCGGTCCCTGTGCGCGCGAGCCCTCGTTTTTTTTTTGGGGGGGGGATCTATATACATATATATATATATATACACATATATATATATAGATATACATATATGTATGTGTATACATGCAGTGTGTATATATAGTGGTGTGTACGTATCAGATCCTGTCGCTGTTTTAACGATTTGGTGTGCAAGTCGTTATTTCCGGGTAGCTGTCCGCGACACACATGTATATACATATGCACACACACACACCCAATTGATTGTTCGTGGGCCTCAGGAGAACGCGGCGGTGCATACGTCACCACTGAGAGCCAGCGATGTTAGACACCGCCACCCTCCCTGAGGGCACGGGCGACATTCGTCGGCGGGCGCCTGTGCATCTATTTCTTTTCGCGGCGTGCAGTCGTTACCCCATGGGGAGGGGAGGTGCCCAACAATACTCACAAAAAGAAGTCCCCAGAGTGTTTTTGACCATCTCTGAATCTTCCCCCTGTAGAGGGACGGGCCCGACTGAAGGAGAGGGGGCCTGGGGCACCTGCTGGTGACGTCCGGGCAGGGTGGAGCACGTCGGGGCGGGGGTGCGCTGCGATCGCCGAAGTGTGCGCGAGAGCACCAGCATGTCGGGGGGGGGGTCCAGTCCCCCCCATGCGTCGTCGTCGGAGGCGCTGCGATCGCCGCAGTGTGCGCGAGAGCACCAGCACGTCGGGGGGGGGGGGGGATTCTGCGACGTATTGACAGCATGCGTGTAGCGCAAAAGTGGCTCAAGCGTAGCGCAAAATCGTCGAACAGATGGTGCGACATGAAGCATCGCGCGCCTTCGTCGGAGGCGGGAGGCGGAACGGAGAGCCCCCCCCCCCGGGAAACGTCGGTTTTTTCGGCTTCGTGGTCGTGCCGCGCGCGCGGGCGGGGCGCAGCTGCGCGGGCGCGCGAGAGGAATGACCCCGCCGTCGATGCCGTGGACTGCCTCTCCGCCCCCGGTGGGCGCGCGGTGCCCCAGGGTGTTCCGCCGTGGCGTCCTGTGGTGTCCCGTTGGTGTTCCGTTGGTGTCCCGTTGATGTTCTGGTCGGAGGTGGGCGGGCGGTGGCCAGGGGTCCCGGCTTGGTATCGATAGTGAAGTCGATCGTGAGATCGTAATAAGATCGCTGGAATGGGATGGAAAGTGAGATCGAAAGTGAGGTCGACAGTGAGGTTGATTGTGACATTGGTTGTGAGATAGACGCCTCGCATTTGCCAGCAATTGGTTCTTCCCTGCACCCCCCCTACCTCCTCATCACCCGAAGAACGGTCGTATGGGTACGATCGTTATCGTTACCCCAAGGGGGGAGGGGGAGGGTGTATGGCTTGAGAAACGACCGTTACGCGCCAGAGGATGAACTAACAAGATCTCCTCTCGAGCCTCCACATCCTTCTCCCCCCTGCTCCTCCCTCATCCACCTCCTCCACCCTTCCTCCACCTCCCACTCCTCCTCCTCCCCCTGCCCCCCCCTCGTTTTCATCTTTGTCGTTCTCAGGGTCGGCGGCACTGGCTGTAAGGCCTTCGCAATCTCCACTCGAGTTCTGAGCCGCCGTTGAGCCCCCTCGAGCTGTCTGAGCTCTCAGCTGTGAGGGGCGCACGAAAGCCGTGACGGCCAGATTGCCGTCGCCTTCGCCCTCGGGAGGCCGGTCACCTGGCCATGGGGCCGTCGAAACACTGCTCCGGATGAAGACAGTTCGTCCCTGGGGAAGTGGTGGAAGCCCGGTGGGCCTACGTCGCGAAAACACTGCAGCGTCGGATGAGAGGGAATGCCCTCCTTGGCGGTCTCTTGGGCCCCCTTGGGGGCCTCCTGGGACTGCGTGGGCTGCCATGACTTTCGGAGATCTTCTGACCCGGGTCAATCCAGACCCGGGTCAGTCAGGCCTTGCAAAATCATGCAAGAACCTGAAAGATCCTGCACCCAAGCCCGGGTCAATGCGAAGGATCCTGCAAGATCCTGCAAGATCCTGCGCCCAAGCCCGGTCAATGCGACCCTGGCCCTGCAGGATCCTGCAAGATCGGGCGCTCTGGCTGAGCCCCGCTTGCATTGACCCGTGTCTCAAGGCTCCCGAGACTTCTCTTCGGCGTCAGCTCCAGGAGGCCTGGGCGTATATTCCCCTGAGAACCCTGCGCGGATGGTCCTGCACGGCTGCACGGATCAGGGCTCGAACTGCACGGTGCTCTCCGCTCTCGTGTTGTTTTGAAGTCATCGGCCTGACATAAGGAGCGATGAATAAGGAACGAAGCCCCTTTTTGGCCAAGGAATAACGCATAGGGAACGATAAATGATACATAACGCATCAAGCACGAATAAATGACGCACCCAAGCCTAAGGGACGACCGAGCCCGATTTGAAGAGGAAGTGTTCCTTGTTCAAGCCGCTCGCTGTAGGTTCCCCTCTTCTTGTGTTCGTCCCGCCTTCGCCGCAGAGCGCCAGCGGAGTGAAATCGGCACATTTGGACGCCCGAAATGGGCACGGAAACAATGGGCACAATGCCCAACAGCAAATGTTGTCTCGAACCAACAGCGGCCGCTGTTGGCCATCCCTCGGAACATCCCTGAAGAACATCCCTGAAGAACATGAGACCATCCGTCGGCCAAAATAAACCGACAAAATCAGTGTGAGGGGGCCAAGCGGTCATTCATTGTCCATGGGTGCGTGGCTGAAGTGGGGATCCGTGGTGAGGATTATGCTTGTTGCGTTGTTGCGTTGTTGTTGTTCTTGGCACTGTTGCTTTTGCTTATTTGTTTGTTTGCTTGTTTGTTGTCGTCGTCCCACCTCGGGACCCAACCCGCGACCCACCCCGCGACCCACCTCGGGACCCACCTCGGGACCCAACCCGCGACCCACCTCGGGACCCACCCGCGACCCAACCCGCGACCCCCCCGCGACCCACCCCGCGACCCATCCGCGACCCACCCGCGACCCACCCGCGACCCACTTGCGACCCACCCGCGACCCACCCCGAGACCCACCCGCGACCCTCCCGCGACCCACCCGCGACCCATCAGCGACCCACCCGCAACCCACCCACGACCCACCCGCGACCCATTTGCGACCTACCCACATTGGTTTGACGAAATACAATAAAATCGGCGCCTGCAGCGGGCTCGTTGCATAATTTGTGAAACTTCGGCGCCTGCGGCGGGCTTCTCCAGAGTCTCGCAAACTGCCGATGTCCCCACCGCCCCCTTGACTATTACCCGCATCTGTGGGGTGCTACGCAAACAGACCATCCAAGGGTACCCTCCCCAGGATGCACAAGAGCATTCAACAAGCATGAAGAGCACCAAGGTACCCTTCCCGAACCGACCTCGATCTCATACCTCGGCCCGACTGTATAGACGACTCCTCCGTGCCGCGCTGAGAGGCGTGTCGGTATGGCGGGCCGGACGTTTCGCCTGAGACTTTCTCGCCGCTTATGATCCTGAAGCTTGAACTTCGCAACAGCACGGACGGAGCAGAGATTGTTGGTAGATGGGGGTCCCTCCTTTGCAGATTCGTTTCAGACAGGTTTGCATAGGTTTCCAGGATGGGAACACAGGTCGCTTTCACAATGGGGCTATCGCCTTAGCGCCGCGCGCGTTAACCTTACAACGTTTGCAACGGCTTCAGGGATGGAATGTTTTTTTTTTGTATTATTACTATTATTATCATTATTATTATTATTATTAATATTATTATTATTGTTGTTATTATTATGAAGCACATGGAGCGCTCTCCGCAGTGCAGAACGCACTTATCATTGCTGATGCATCTTGGGCTTACTTTGGTCCTCTTCCTCCTCCTCCTTCGGCGCCGCCGTCGTGGTCGTCGTCGCCGTGACCGTCGGCGCCGCGGTCAAGGCCGTCGCCATCGACGTCGGCACCTGCCGCCGTATTCGCCTGCGTCCGTCGACGTCGCCGTCGGCGTCGCCGGCGTCGATCGGCGCCATCCCCAGAACTCCGAGGTCGGGATTTTTGCGCAACGTCGAACTCTAAAAGCCTGGACCCCTTCCCCGGGACGGGACCGGCTTTTCATCCCAGGCCGTTGGTTGACAGATGCCGGAAACTGTAAAAGAAACCTCCCGTCGTGATTTTTCCACGACGCGAGCATGCCTGCATCGTCGACCTCGTTGGCCTCGTCGTTCGCTGTGCCCCGCCCTCGTGAGACCGCACGCTGACAGACCACCTCCCGCCGTGAGTCCTTCGCGACGAGAGGAGGTGCCGCCGCCGCCGCCGACGTTGGCGCCCGACGCCGACGACATGTCGGCGCCGATCGGCGCCCACCGATCAGGCAGGCGCCCTCTGAGCGCGCCGGCCACCTCGCCGCCCAGCGCGTACAGCCGCCCGGCCGCGCTCGCGGCGCACGGCCCAGCCCGCGGGCCGGTCAGCGGCGGCAGCTCCTCCCAGGCGCCAGTCTGCGGGTCGTACCTTCTGGCGGCAGCGGGCTGCGGCCAGCGGCGGCAACGGCGGCGGCCACGTCGGCGGCCACGGCGGCCACGACGACGCCGGCAACGGCGGCGGCAGGGCTTCGTACCTGGCGGCGGCGGCTGCGATGGCGGCTAGGGCTGCGGCCAGCGGCGGCCGCGGCGGCGGCCACGTCGGCGGCCACGGCGGCCACGACGACGCCGGCGACGGCGACGGCGGGGCTTCGTACCTGGCGGCAGCGGTGGCTGCGATGGCGGCTAGGGCCGCAAATTGCGGCGGCTGTGACGACGGCGGCCACAACAGCGACGTCGACGGCCATCGCGACGCTGACGACGACGAGGGGCCGTGCGTGGCAATGGCGGCAGGCAGAGCTCTGCGAGTCGTTCGTCGTTCGTCGTCGTCGTCGTCGTCGTCGTCGTCGTCGTCGTCGTCGTCGTCGTCGTCGTCGTCGTCGTCGTTGTCCGTCGTCCCGTGTCCGTTGTCCGTCGTCAACGTCAACCGTCCGTCGTCGGCGTGGCGTCGTCTTCGAGCGTCGAGGTTCGAGGTCTTGATGCTTTTGACGCTTTCGCGGCCTCTGGCGGCCACCGGGGGGCTCCAAAGGACCGCGGACGACGTCCGTCGTTCCGCATGATCGTAGTCGCTTGTCTTTGTCGTCCGTGGTCGTCCGACGTCCGTCGTCGGCCGTCCGTCGTTTGTCTTTGTGGTCCGACGTCCGTTGTTGATCTTTGTCGTCCGTGGTCGTCCGTGATCGTCCATCGTCCGCAATTCGTCGTTCGTGTTCATTTTCATTATTGTCGTCGTCGTCTGGCGTACGAGGTCCGCCGACGTCGTTCTCGAAGATCGGACCCAGGGCCTCGCCCCAGAGCGCGTCCTGACCGAAACCTCGAGGCGAGGCCGAGCGGGAGGGCGGGAGGAGCAGCGTGGAGGCGACGACGCGCACCCGGACTGGCTAAAATCCCTGGAGCTACCTGGCCGACCCTGGATGCCTGTGTCCTGTAACTGGCCATCGCTCGGACGTCCACTCCCTTCGCTTTTTCCGGTTTCGTGCGTGGTTTTTTTCGCTAAATGATCAAGGATGCTCCTCGATGGCCCTCGCCGAAGGAAAAATGCACACGTCCGAGCGATGCCAAGGTAAACATAAGCAAAAAAGGCATCAACATAGTTCAACTTTCGACCTGCGCCGGACGCCCCTCCCTGGCGCGCGGAGCGCGATCCAAGAAACCCGCGCGGAGCGCCAGGAATTTCTGTCTACGGCCGTTTTTCCTTTCTTCGATGCATCCTGTAAGCGGTGCCGTCTCACTTCTGCTCCAGCCGCCTTCCACCGTCAGGCCTGTCGTCGTTACAGGGCTGGACCTACACTGCGTTTTGGCCACCTCGTGGGCAGTTTTGCTTTGCACTCAAGGCGAAGCGAAGGCAAAACGAGGAAGAGCGAACAACAGGCGAGCGTTTTCTTGTTCGGCGTTTCGACATTGGGCAAAGGGGGGGAGGTGGAGGGGGGGGTTTGGCTCCGGATCTCTGCTTAATGCGACTTTGTGGATCCGTGCGTCCTCTGGGGGTGGCTCCACATGCTTGAAGCGGGCGCCAAAAACAGCCGAGGTCTACTCCGTGGGGGGGAAGGGAGAGAAGGCCGGGTGCGAGGGCCCGAGACGATCGGCAAAACAAGGAATAAAATCACACCAAAGAAAAACCCAACCAATGGATGGTTTGAAATGAGATCGATAAAAAGATCGATAAGAAGATCGACCAGAAACCCGGAACCCGGAACCCACCGAAATCGGTCCGGAACCAATGACACCCCGGAACCCAGAACCGGGAACCGGGGACCCCAGAGCCGGCCACCAAATTCGGCGGGACACTTTCGCCAAATCTTTCAATTCCTGCTAGGACCCCATTCAGTGCAAGCGCTGCTTGGGGAAGGATCGCCAGCACGAAAACGAAACACACTGTTTGGGCTCCGCCCTGCCGTCGTCCTGCTTTTTCGCGGCCTGCCGCCTCAGGGTATCTTCCGACCCGGGTCAAGCCAGACCCGGGTCGGTCAGGCCATTGCAGGATCCTGCAGGGTCCTGCACCCGAGCCCGGGCCGATGCGAAGGATCCTGCAGGATCCTGCACCCGAGCCCGGGTCGATACGTCCAGCTGGCCCTGCAGGATCCTGCAATATCCGGCGCCCTGGCTGACCCCCGTTTGCACTGGCACCCGTCTCAAGGCTCCCGAGCTGTTCCGTCGCTGGACTTCGCTGGTGTCCAGGACGCGGCGGCGAATGAGCCAACGAGGACCCCAAGCGGCGGCCCATGGAGGACGGCCTCCCGCCTGACAATACCCAGCTCTCTGGCCAGAGACGCCTTGGGAGTAGGAGGAGACGCAGGAGAAGGAGGAGGAGGAGGAGGAGGAGGAGGAGGAGGAGGAGGAGGAGGAGGAGGAGGAGGAGAGGAGGAGGAGGAGGAGGAGGAGGAGGAGAAGGAGGAGGAGGAGGAGGAGGAGGCGCCCTCCTCGTCCGTCTCGACAATGTCGTCGTCGTCCTCGTCCTCGTCCTCGTCGTCGTCGCCGTTCGTCGTCACCGTCGTTCGTCGTTCGTCGTCCTCGTCGTCGCAGTCGTCGGTGTCGTCCGACCAATTATCCGCTCAATGGTCAATCCTGGTCCGCTTTCCGAGCCGCGTCAAGCCGTTGCGACAAGAACTTTCAGGAGCACGCAAACATCTTAGAGATAACGACGACGACGACGTCGCCGCCGTCCGTCCTTGGTCGCTCTTGGTTATCGAGGGAGGTCCCCTTCGAGGATCCCCTGAGGCAAACCAAACCAAACTGCATGTGCACCTCGATCCTCGACCCTCGATCTACCATCGTCCGTCCTCGAGATCCGCTCAAAGTTGGGCACCTCAATTGGACCCACTCTGAGAACTTTTCACCCCCAGTTCGATCTTCTACGGGGGCCCGAAGCAGCTGTCCTCCAAAGGCTGAGCACGACGACGAAACACCTATGCCTTAGAGAGAAGGCCAACCCGCTGCCATCAACTCCAACCAATCCTCTTCCCAACCCTGGACAAACCCTGCGGACCCTTCCGTCGGACTCATCCAGAAAACTCTGGTAGGGGTATTCTTTTCCCATCAGGATGAAGAACTCCTCACGATCCTCGATCCTCGTTCGGTTGTCCCTCGTCGGACCTGCCTCGGCGGCGAGTGAGGGGGGTAAGTGAGAAGGATAAGGCCCTCTCAGAAGGCGGCGGGACTTCTCAGAAGCCCTCGCGCCTTCGGAGGTGTTTTTTGTGTGTTTTCGGGAGAAGGCTTCGAAAACTCATCAGAAGGCCAGGGGACTTCCGAACTTTCTGGGACAGCCTTCTCCTTCTCACTCCCCCCCTCGCTCGCTGCCGACTGCCTCCAGAGGCTGAGCATGACGAAACAGCCGGTCTCCAATCCTCGCTCGGTTGTCGTTCGTCGGCGGTCCAATGGGGGGCTCGGGCGCGAACTAATGGGGGGCGATCAACGGAGGGGGAGAAAAGACACCTTTTCAGGCCCGAAAGGGCTCTTGTAGGGGAGCCCTAAAAAGGCCTCCCTTTTTTGCAGCCATCGCTGCCCCGCCATTCATCGCCGCCCCATGATGAGCCCCTCACAGGGGGGATTGCGACCCCGATCTCCGGTGTGGGGCCTGCGAATCGACTGCAGAATTGAGAAAAGCAAGCTCGGGGACTCGGGGATCTTCGATGGGGGGGGCGCCCATCCTCGCCGATCGGGGTGCTCGAATAGGCCCCTGGGGGTTGCATCCCTGAGACCCCCCCCTTCTTCTCCGAGCCGCGAATTTTAGGTCGGGCTTGTCCCCCTACAGGGGGGTATTCGACCAACAACAAATACCCCCAAAGCACCCCCAAAAGGTCAACAAATACTCAAAACATAGCCCCCAGACTATTTTTGGATTATTTTTGACTTTTTGGGGGGTATTTTTTTTTTTCGTTGAAAATCCCCCTGTAGGGGGACAGGCCCGACTTAACGCTCATTTTCGGGGGGGGGGGGGGAGAGAGAGACCGCCGGCCGGACTCGGGGCCTCGGGGACCTTCGAGCGGGGGGAGAGGCGCCCACCCTCGACAATAGCGGGGCGGGGGAGGGGGGGCCTCCCCGAGGCCCCCCCCCCCCCCCCCCCCCCGTCTTCCTCTCCGAGCAGCCGTGAGCCTCCGTCGGGGCAGCTCGCGGGCCGGGGCAGAGAGCTCGCCGGTGGGCCCCCGGTCCTCGCGCGGGCCTCCTCCGATCCTGGCTCGGCCGCCGCCGAGGGCCCGCCGAGGGGGGCGCCTGGCCGCGGTGGCCACCGGCCTGTAGCCGGAGTCGAGGCCGCCAACGACGTAGAGCCTCTGGGCGGGCCGGGGGGGGGGGGAGGAGGAGGAGGAGGAGGAGGAGGAGGAGGAGGAGAGGAGGAGGAGGAGGAGGAGGAGGAGGAGGAGGAGGAGGAGAGGAGGAGGAGGAGGAGGAGAGGAGGGAGGAGCAGGAGCAGGTGGGGGAGGAGGAGCAATTAGAAGGAGGAGGGAGGAGGAGGAGGAGGAGGAGGGAGGAGGAGGAGGAGGAGGAGGAGGAGGAGGAGGAGCGGTGGGCTCGGCGGCGAGCGTCGGGGCTGAAGAGACGGGGGCCCATTGCAGGCAGGGGTCGGGCAGGGCGCTGGAACTTGCAGGATCCTGCAGGGCCAGGGCATTGACCCAGGCTTGGGTGCAGGATCCCACAGCTGCACGATCCTGCAAGATCTTGCCAGGATCCTGCAAGGCCTGACTGACCCGGGTCCGGATTGACCCGGGGCAGAAGATCCCCGAGAGCGAGGGCGGGGAGTGAGAAGGAGAGTGCCGACGGCAAGGCTTCGGGCCTGAAGAAACGGGGGCCCATGCAAATGGGGGCCAGCTAGGGCGCCGGATCCTGCAAGGTCCTGCAGGATCCTTCGCATTGACCCGGGCTTGGTGCAGGATCCTGCAAGATCCTGCAAAGCCTGACTGACCCGGGTCTGGATTGACCCGGGGCAGAAGATCCCCGAGAGCGAGGGCGGGGAGTGAGAAGGAGAAGGCCTTCTAAGAAGGCGGCGTGACTTCTCAGTAGCCCTCGCGCCTTCTGAGAAGTGTTCCGTGTCTTCGGGGAAGGCTCAGAAAGCTTTTCTCTCAGAAGGCCGGGGGGCTTCCGAGCCTTCTGAGAAGGCAAGCCCCTTTTCACTTCCCTCCTGGGGTGGCCGCCGAGTGGTTCGCGCCTCTGTCTGCCTTTCTCGCGCCCCCCTGCGCTTTCTGTGCCCTGATTCGTTCCCGGCGTGTACAGCCGACCAGCGCCTGCACCAGCTTCGGCCCGCGCCCCCCCCCGGTACGCCGCCGACGGCGGCTGGAAAGTTTATACCCTTACGGTGGCACCGCAGGGGTATAAACTTTCCAGCCGCCCAGGGGCAGGTGTCCCCGACGGCGAAAAAGTGTATGTTATACCGTTCTTCGCCCGTTAGAAATCGGGCCAGCTTCCCGGCAAGCTGGCTGCGAAGCGCTGGCCCAACTTCTCGGGAGGAGGTTCCCTAAGCAGACGCTCGACAGGGAGGACGAACCCCGAGGACGAAGCCCCGCGCGACGACGGGTCTAGCCTACAGTCGAGGAGCTACCAGAAGGAACGCTAACTTTAGGTCGGGCCTGTCCCCCTACAGGCAGATTTTGGACGACAAAAAACAATCCCCAACATCTTCAGAAATGCTCAAGCATAGTAAAACAAGTCGTCACCTGACTCTTGTGGGCTATTTAGAAGTATTCCCCCCTGTCGAGGGACACGCCCGACTGAACGCCAAATCGCTCCTTCTCGACCCCAACGGCGCCCGGGTGCACGAGGAGGGCTCTACACCCACGGAGTACCCCAGGGAGGAGCGGGCCCCTTCGGAGCCCAAGGCTGCCCCTGATCTCAGCGCCTTGGCTGCAGCCTCTGGGGAGGTGGGGGCGCTCGTAGACGGGCGCGTGCCAGTACTCGCAGAGTGACTGCTCGCGAATGGCCGGCATCTGCCAGGAGGGGTCCTACGAGAAATTGCATCGAAGCAGACATGAGTTTTTCGGACGTCTGCGAATAGGCACTCTGCGAGCCGCGGAACATGCCCGGCTGAATTCAAGGGGGGAGGGCGGGCGGCGGGGGAGTGGGGTGTCGAGGGGATGCGTGGCGAGGAGCGCGATGGGGGCGAGGAGCGCGAGGAGGTGCGCCGAGCCTGGGCGGGAAGCGTCGGACGATGTCGCCGAAGGCCTCCCCGACGGCCTCGTCACGGCCGACGCCGCCAGCGCTGCCGTCGCCATCGCCGCCGCCGCCGCCGCCGCCGCCGCCCTCGTGGTCGTCGGCGTCGTCGACGTCAACGTCATCGTCATTGTCGGTCGTCGGTCGTCATCTCGCCCGTCGTCGTCATTGGATCGTCGTCGTCGTCGGTCCACGTCGCGACCGTCGCCTTCTCCTCGCCGTCTCCGACGTTGTCGCCCGCCTCTCCCTTCAACACCAAGCCACGGACCTGTCCTGGAACGTGCTTCGACCAGGATTTCGGAGCGAGTCCAGTCCGAAACGATGAGGGAGGGCTTCCCTCGAAGCCCCGAGCGGCAGGAGGGGAATGGAGAGGACATGAAGGTGCTCTCCACCTTCTCGACGAGATCTTTATCGTCGTCATCAGGTTCCGACCTGGAGCGCATGCTGACCATGAATTCGAGGCGGGTCCAGCAGTGGCGACGAGGGCCCTCCGAGAGGCCACGAAAAATACGGCTGGACCTAGGACAGAAACACATTGAGACCCTCCGCCTGCCAAAGCACACAGAGCATTCGAGGGTACCCTCCCCAGGATGCACAAGAACATCCACCAGACACGAAGAAGATCAGGGCACCCTCCCCGAGCCGACCTCGATCTTATACCTCGGTCCGCCCGGAAGGCGGCCGAAGCAGACTTGGGCACAGGCCGCCCCAGAGAATCACAACACACAGCCGAAGCATATCGGTTCTGGAAGCCAGAGGGCGCTTGCAGCAGACCGGGGCCTGGGCATCCACAGACACGTCTGCTCCCAACGACGGCGCGTCAACTCCCGGAGGGCCGCGCCGACTTTCGGACCCGCGCTGCCCACCCACCCTCGCCGGCGCGCGAAGCGCGCCCCGGGCGGCACCGGAGGCGCCGCCAGGGGAAGAGGATGTCCATCGGCGGTGGACAAACCTCCCTGTAGTAAAGATCCCCTTAGTGAAAACGGCCTAGGAGACCGAAACCGACGGACCTGGACCCGCAAAAATAACGGCCGTGACGCCCTCTCGCGAACCGAAAACGGCCAGTTCACTAATCGACGAGTCAGGGTGGAGGTCTATCAACCTCCGAGTCCAGCGCCGATCCGAGAAAGGCGCGCGGACCCATGCGTTTCTTCTTTGAGTCGTCGTCGCCGTCGTCGTCGTCGAGAACCAGCACGGATGATGTGTCTCCAACGACCTCTGTGCTTCAATTCGGGGCCTCAGTGCGCTCCCTCGTCGCCACGGCTGGATCCGCCTTCTGATTCCGGTCACACCGCGCTGCAGGCGAAGTCCAGGGGTCGACGTTGAGGGGAGGACCAAGCCGCTGCGGTCGTCGTCCCCGCCGCTGTCGCAATCGGCGTCTTCGCTCGGCGGGAACGACATGACTGGGCTGCGGCCCAACCAAGTGGGAGGGCCTTCCCTGGCCTTTCTTCAGCTGCTCCCTCAGATCTTTGGTGGTCCCCAAACGTGGTGGTGAGAACACCCGGTGGTGAGTTTTGGACGATTTGGGTAATGGTTTTCGAGCGCTGGCTGGCCCAAGAAACGCAAAACCTCGTGGCGACCGCGTGTCCCCAAACCCGGTGGCGACCCAGAATTATTTTCTGGGGGAATCGGGGTCACCACCGGGTGTCTCACCACCTGGTTTGGAGACCACCAAGATCTGGGCCTTCCCTGGCCTTCCTTCAGCTGCTCCCTCACATCTGGGCGGTGGGGAGGAGGAGGAGGAGGAGGAGGAGGAGGAGGAGGAGGAGGAGGAGGAGGAGGAGGGGGAGGAGGAAGAGGAGGAGGAGGAGGAGGAGGAGGAGGAGGAGGAGGAGGAAGAGGAGGAGGAGGAGGAGGAGGAGGAGGAGGAGGAGGAGGAGGAGGAGGAGGAGATCGCCCCTGCGGGGCCCTGGGAGTCGTCGCTTCGCTCCAGGAGGCCTCCTCGTTCGACGTGGCCTTTTTTGCCCGCGGCGTCGGCCCCCGGGGACCTCTCGAGCCCTTCCCCGGGCATGGGCGGCCTTTCCCTCCGAGTCGCTGGTTCGCGGCCCCGGGGCCTGGAACTGGCCTTCCTTGGCGGCGCGCAAAAAGGGGTAGGGGGAGGGGGGAAGGCTTCTTAGAAGCACCCCTGCTTCTTAGAAGGCCTCGGCCTTACGTACGTCTTCCGCGGCCCCGGGGCCCGGAACTTAGGGGGAAAACAAACCTACCTCGCTTTTGACCACCCTCGCTTCCAAGAGATACCAAGCGATGCTAAACTGCGGCCTGTACTGGTCAGGCCGCTTGACGAGGAGGCGCGTGGTATGACTTGGTTTTGCCTGGAACCGAAAGCGGGGTAGGTAATTCACGCTCTGAGAACTGGCCTTCCGTGGCCGAAAACTGCGGGAGACCGGCCGTCACGATCTCGTGGCGGCGCCCGTTCTTGGGGCCCGGGCGTCTGCCGTCTCGAGGCCCTCAGGACCGCGGGCCTCCCGACCTCTCGACCACCTCCCCAAGGCCCGTGCGGCCTCGCGAGGCTGCGTCTGACGGTCCCCTGGCACCGCAAGGGCCCCCCCAGAGTCCGAGCACGACAAAAAACGCGCCTCGACTTTTTTCGAGACGGCGACAACGACAACGATGTCGCCATCGGCGGCGGCGGCGGCGCCGCCGCCGTCGTCGTCTTCGTCGTCGTCGCCGTCGCCGTCGTCGTCGTCGCCATCGGCCTCGTCGTCGTCGTCGTCGTCGTCGTCGTCGTCGTCGTCGTCGTCGGCGTCGTGGCCGTGGTCGTCGTCGTCGCCGCCGTCGCCGTCGCCGTCGTCGTCGTCGTCGTCGTCGCCGTCGGCTTCGTCGTCGTCGTCGTCGTCGCTTCGTCGTCGTTGCCGCCGGCAATGTCGTCGTCGTGGTCGGCGTCGTGGCCGTGGTCGTGGCCGTGGCCGCCGTCGTCGCCCCGCGGGGGGCCTGGTGGAAGGCCCGGCAGGCCGCCCCGAGGTGCCGCGCCACGGGCGGGCCGCCCGCGAAGGCGCAGACCGGGAGGGCGAGGTGCTGCGCCAGGCTGTCGCACCTATAGGGGCGGCCCGGGGGGGCCCCCGGGGGGGGGGGGCTCCTCGGGGAGCCGCGGGGCGGGGCCCTTTTGCCGCCCCGAGGCGCCGCACGCAGCACGCAGCGTAATACTGATCTACGGGCTTCGGCGCGTAGCCCGAAAGCGCGGGTCAGACGCAGCACTTTCTCCCAGAGGGCTGGGGACCTTCGCCGCCCCGAGGCGCCACACGCAGCACGCAGCGTATACTGATACACGGGGCTCGGCACGCAGCCTGAAAGCGCGGGTCGATACGCAGTGCTTTCTCCCAGACGTGGGCCCATACGTCGAGCCAAGACGCAACGTATTGGCACGGACGTCTCGAGTACGGCACGTGTTGCGTATCAAAATTTGCTGTGCGCGTCCCGCGTTGCTTTCAGCGGAAGAGGTTCGCTCTCGCCCTGCAAATCAAAAACGTTGCGTATCAAAACGTGCGCCTGGTGGGAACGTTTGTTTTTAGCTCGGCGTGTCGACATTGGGGCGGGAGGGGGGGGGTCTGGCTCTGGACCTCTGCCTAATGCCACCGTTTGCAACAGGGCGTCCTGTGGGGGAGGCCCCACCTGCTTCAGAACAGGTGCCAACAGAAAAGCCAAGGTCTACTCCAAGAGGGGGGCGGAGGAGGGGTGCAAGGGCCCGCGCCGACCGGCAAAACCTCGCCGGGTCGGGGCTCGATGCTACCAGGGAGTCTGGCAACCCTAACCCCCGACCTTGTGGGACCTGGGACTTGGGAAGACACGTGAGCGACGAAAACAAGCGGGTCTCACGCGAGACGACATGACAGCCTTTCGCGGTGGCCTACGCGGGCCGCCCGCGCGGCACGCTGCCTTGGAGCCGAGGGCGCTGACGCGGGGCCTCACGCGCCAATGTGCCAATGTCGGTGCAGCTGACCCCGTTGTGCTGCGCCGCTCCCTCGGGGCCCAGCTTCCAGGAGGCACGCGTGCGATGCGGGGGCAGGCGTCCTCGGTAAGGGGTGCGCCTGAAAGAGCACCCTGGGGGTGCATCCCCGAGGGCCTGCCCCCATCCTGAGCGTCCAGCTTCTTCTGGGGGGGAACCTCGGGAAGTGAGCGCGAGGAATCGCCTGCGATTCGGGGGCCGAGGCTCGGGAATCGAGCCTCGAGGACATCGGAGGCTCGGGGCCCGAGGTGGGACGCCCGAGGACCGCGCTGTGCTGGGCAGTGACAGGCAGCGCTGGGCCGTGTGAGAAGCGTCGACGTCGTTGTCGCCGTCGTCGTCGTCGTCGTCGTCTTCGTCGTCGTCGTAGTCGCCGCAACCACCGCCGCGGCCGCGGCCGCCGCCGCAGCCGCCGCCGTCGCCGTCGTCGTCGTCGTCGTCGCCGTCGTCGTCGTCGTCGTCGTCGTCGTCGTCGTCGTCGTCGTCGTCGTCGTCGTCGTCGTTGTCGTCTTCGCCGTCGTCGTCGTCGTCCTCGTCGTCGTCGTCGCCGACGTCGCCACTGACGTCGTCGCCGTCGGCGTGGTCGCCGGAACAATTCCGTGCTTTTGGCTTCTGTGTGTGCGGCCTCCGCGTCGGAAGTTGTCAGAGAGCTTCTGAGTAACTGTGGGAGAACCTCGGGAATGCGCGAGGAGATAACGCTCGGCGCTTCTCAAAACACTGCCCGCTTCAACAACGTGGACAAAACATGAAGTTCCGATCGCCGTATCACAAACCAAACGCATTACGCCACGAGCACCGTACATCCGTGTGTATGTATCACCGGGCGCGCGTGTTCCACGTGCTGGCCCCATGAGGTAGGTACCCTACGTCTGCGAGAACGGCATTTCACGCGAAAGCGAGGATTTGCGCGCGGCGGCGGGGGGAATGCGAACTGCAACTCAACGACCCACGGCGCCCGGATTTGAGGGGAGAACTCAGGAAAAACAGTGAAGGCATTCCCACTGGATCGCGGCCAAGTCGTGTCGTTCCCGCTAGGAGAAGACAACGATAACGACGGCGGCGACAACGACCACCTCGTCCTCCCACGTCAATGCGTTCGGCTGGACCTCTTCTGGAGCGCGTTCCGTCCAAGATCCGAGGAAGTCTCACGGAGGCCACGAGTAAAAACGAAGTGCATCTAATCACACATATCCTCGATTCAGGGCCTCGACGACGACGGCGACGACGGCGGCGGCCACGACGACGATGACCTCGGCGACAATGGCGGCACCGACGACGACGGCGGCCACGGAGGCGACGACCACAAGGACGACGACGACGACAACGACGACGACGACGACGGCGGCCGCGAAGGCGACGACGGTCACGGCGGCGACGTCGCAGGCAGCCACGACGACGACGACGACGAGCGCGACGACGGCGACGACGCCGACTGCGCGCGAGCGGATGCGGGGCGGCGCGCCCGTGGCCCCCGGCGGCAGGCGCGGCATCCCAAAAGGACCTGCGGGGGGTTCTCGCCGCGGCCCCCCTTCGCTGCCTCGCCGCCACCGCCGTGGCCGCCGTGCATGCCA